AATGGGAGGAAGTCGAGAGCATTGCCGTCAGTCCAGGTTACTGTTTCCTTAGATAGGAGATGCTCTCGCTGGGGACAGCAAGCAAGGGCTCACAGGCCGTAAGAGGACCGCTCTATGTCCCCTGGGGGCTTTGGCTGGAAGCCTGCGGTGTACAGAAAACACAGTGAAATAGCAAAGAACCAACTAGAGAGATGGAGACTTAGAGCTCTCTTGGCGAAGTCCAAAGAAGGGAAAGGGCAGGAGGCCAAGGTGATTAAGGAAGGTGTAAAGATGAGTATGTGTGGCCTGAGAGGGGCTTACATACATAAACAGTGATTGAGAGATACAGACCACTTATACAACACAATGGTCAGGCGGCCCACCCCACCGTGGCCTGGCAGTTAGGACGCAGAGGATGCTGGGACAGTAACATCGGAAGGGACCCTGCCAGACTTCAGCCCAGCTTCTTCTTCTCCAGGCCCCGCAGTGTGGGCAGAAAGGCACCAGCCCTGCAGCTGCTCTCTCGCCATCCTCTGATCCCAGCTCCCACCATCAGAGGAACGAACAAAGAGCAGAGGTGGCGGGAGGAGCGGAGCTTCGGAGGTCAGAGGGATCAGGACGGGTGAGGTGGCCGGAGAGCTAACGGAGCTGCAGCGGGCCAGCGGCTAGAGCCGGGAGTATCTAATTTCCTGCTTCGCGAGGGGAAGTGTGAGGAGGTGGTGAGAACAGCCACGGGAGACGAGGGGGGCGGTTTCAGGACAAAAGGCCAGGCTGGCGAACACACCGAGGGCTTTTCACCCCCTAATACACGGGGGCAGAGCTGGGGGGAGCGCTGACTGGTATTTCAAGTGCTCGGTGACAGCTTGGGTTCCTGGGCTCTGGACAGTGTCACACATCATTATTCTGAACAGGGCTAAGAGATAGAGCAAGCAATTACAGGCCGTTTAACTTAACAGCGTTTACAGAAAAATAATAGGAAAAGCTTGGGAGGGGTGCTGGTGGCAGGGACAGTCCCACAGCGTATGGAAATTTGATCAGGAGAGGGAGGTGCTGTTGGAACTAGCTGGTTGCACTTCTTTGAAGCTACTGCTTTCTTAGTTCTAGATTTCAACCCCTGATTTTTTCTAATATCTATAAAGATTAGGAATAAATAGTTTAAGTAAATAAAACTCAGATACAACGGAGGACATTAGAAATACATGGGAAATGACTAAAAAAATGCAGGTAAGAGACAGTGATATAGTAAGGAAAAAACTGTATCAGTCGAGTTGAAGCCAAGATGCTCTTCATGAAAAATACTTGATTTTGGTCTGTAAATGTGTCTCCAGCCTATTCCTCAGGTGCTTTGTATTTAAAGATGCCTTTTTTTTTTTTATAAAGTGGATTGACTATTTGGTCTGGTTAAAAATTTGGCATAAGATGAATATTTCATTATTCCTTCCTTTGTAAGTTTTCCAAGTTAAAAATTCTCAAATAAAAAGAAGACATCTTTGTGGTTTTTTAAAAAATTAAGTAATGGGTCAATATCAATTTTCTCATAGTTATGCAATTATCTCCATACCACTAAATAGCTGCTGAAACATGAGGGAAAAAAGGAAAGATGAAAACCAAGATAACACACACATTAAAAAATCCATTTACAGATTACTACTTGCTGGAACCTCCATTATCCCTTGTTATGAACTCTGAAATGGCTCATCTGTATCATCCACTGATGAAGTTATTCCGCTTTTCCAGAGGTGCCAGATTCCAGGAACCGGTATCACCTCTATGTCTACAACCTCCATGAGGGCAGGAACCGTGTCTCTCTTGTTCATCATTGTATCCCCTGGGTTCTAGTACTGTGCTTGATAAATAATTAGCGAGTGATTAAATAAGTAACAAGCGCAGCACCGATACTGAGGGTTTACTACGTGTCAGACACTGTATAACTGACTCTGTAAATTCTCCAACAATTCTTTGAAAGAAGTTGTATTATTAACTCCATTTTTGAAGCTGAGAAAACAGGCACTGAGAGCTTAAGTAACCTGCCTAAGGTCACACAGCCAGTCACTGTCAAGTTTTGAACTCAGCCAAGCCTGGCCCAGGGGCCCAGATCTGAGCACAATACCATCTCCTCTCCAGGAATGAGTGCATGATACAGTGAACCTAAGTGTCGCTGTGAGCACAGAGAACGACACACGGGCAGAAATCTGAAGCAGCAGAGAACTCGAGGATTGACACGCCATCTGCAAACAGTGGAATTCAGGGGGCAGCGAGAAGTTCACAGCTGCATGTCCAGGATCCACTCCCTGGAGCAGCAGAACTGTGACACACCTTAGGCAGAGCACCAGGAGCAGGCCTGGCTTGGCCCCGCGCTCCCTGCAGGCTGCAGTCCTTTGTCCAGGACAAGGACCTTCAAGGGAGCGCACGCCGGGTTCCAGTGGTTACGGTAGGGAGGGAGGACAGCGGTCGGCACGCGGGAGCGACTGTGCAGGGAGAGATCAGCAGCCCTCTCAAGTCAGTACCTGCCTCGGCTAAGTTGGCTTTCTTCAGGCTAGTCTGAGCCTTACCCAAAAAACAACCTCGAGTTCTGCTCTGGGACACCGCTGTTCTGAGGCCTGCTACGTCCTCACCGCTTTTTCCTTTTTTTTCCCCTCCCAGTTTTCCAGACAGCATTTTCCTCTTTCCTGTCGGTCATCCGGGCACCCTCTGACTCTCAGGGGAGGCCGTGTGTGCTCTCGCTGCCCTGGCCCCGTGTGCTGAGGATCTGGGAGGAGGGGTGGGCGGCTGGTGGAAGTGGATCAGGAGAGCAAACTTTCACAGATCCTGGAAGAATGGAAGGAAACCCCGGGCAGGAAGGATACGGTTTAGACGTGAACGATTCCACGTCTCCCTACCTACGTGCTGACTAACGTCCGAGAAACCGGGCGCTTCACCGGACTCAGGTGACCGAGGGTGGGACGCTGCTGGCTGCCAGGCCCCCACACCTAAGCAAAGGCTCCTTTAGTTTGTCGTCTCCAGAGCAGAGCCGGTCCCCTTTCAGAGGGAAGAGTCTCACCCCCCGAGGCTACTTAGCAGAAGCCTGCCACGCTGATCCAAGCTTTAGGAAAACTTGTTGTTCTGAGGAGTGAGGTTAGAAGCTCCGCAAGACAAGTTGCTCAAGAAGAGGGCAGAGAATGAATACAGCCTGGGCGGGAGGGGCGTGCGGGCCTCGAGATGAGGCGCAGTTCAAGATCCAGAATCGGGCGTAAAGGGGATCCTGGAGAGAGGAGCGGGCACATGAAATCAGACACCACTCTCACATTCAAACAATGCTGGTGTCAACAGAGCTGCAGAACAGGTATGATGATAGCATCTGCATGAACAAAGGCAGGGGAGGGGTGTGTGTCCCAGCAGGAAAGGGGCTGACTGGGATTCAAGAGCGGTCTTGTTAGGCCCAGGGTCCTTTTCCTGTCCAGCCACCGCTTTTGTTCTTTGCCCTTATCAATCCCGTACCTTGCCTAAGTCAGAATGACAGACAAGCCGTTCTTAATGACTTCCTAGCTTTTGAAACTGCTTTGCTGTCTAGAAAGAGCCACGCTTGAGGTTGCTGTAGGAATTGAAGTCTCAGTCGGCTTCGCGGGCCTTCCACTCTGAGACAATCATTTTTGTTTGTAAGCACAGACATGTCTGTCCACATACGTGGCTTGTGCGATGTTCCACAAAAAGGTGTCAGGACCACGAAACAAATGGAGTGAAGCCGGCCCGGCGGGGGCAGTCCTTGCTGTGTCAGCAGCCCAGAGAGCAGGCCGGTATCTTCCTCCCCCAGGGACCCGGCACATCCTCTCCTGGGCACACCCACTCTCCATTAGCGCTGGGAACAATCGCTCGCTGTGTCGGGCCGGCCACGCCCTGCCCGGGACAATGCCGACTGCACAGCCCAGCTCTCCCAAGCACTGCTACTTCCTCTCCTTCTGATTTCCTCCTGCGTCCAAGAGTACATGAAATACAGCTCTTTCTTGGGCATGAAAGAACACACTTGCAAGGGTGGTCACTCACGACACACGCACTTTCAGTCTGTCTTCCCGGGGCTTCCCTAATCCCTACAGGCCACGCGATGTATGGGAATTTGCTTCGAGACCAGCAAAAGGGCTTCCAAAGGATTCCACTCTCAGCGAGGCTCACTGGGTGCGCTAGCCAGCACATCGGAGCGTCTCTCTCTGAGACACTGCCTTCTGCTCTCTCTGGGTGCACTTCGCACCTTCAGTTTTGTAACCGTTAATGAGGGTAGACAACATCGGAGGGGCAACACCAAGCCAGACGTTTTCATAAAGTTAGGGAAGGAAGATGTTTGGACAATCTACAGCGCATCCACCCTTCTACCATCGACCAATCAGTCGCTATTTATCAAGCACCTATTTGTTACAGTATAAGACGCTCCGTGTCTTTGACGCACTCCCAGCTTGGTCAGGTAGGAAAGGCATGTAGACAAGTGACTTTTCTACTCATTTAGAATTAGGTGCTAGAATTATGGGTAGCAGACACTACAATGGAAGTAGAAATTTCAGTGATGTTGGAATATGGGACCAAGAAAAGACTTCAAGGAGGAGCCGAAACCAGAGCTGAGTCGCTAAAGACATGTCTGGGAGACTGTTTAGGGCTTAGTGGTGTGTGTGCTCACGTGTGGGTGGGTGTGAGTGCTGACAGGCCCAGCTACGAGGGAGGCGGGTCCTCCAGACCCCAGGGACCCTGCAGGTCCCATCAAGGATCAGCCAGAGAACAGGAACCCAACACGAGGAGGAGAGCTGTGTCTCCACTTCTTGAAACCAAAGATTTCCTTGGATGTGATTTACCCGGCCGTCCTTCAGCGAGCAACAGATTTTGTGCTGAACACGATATCTCGAGTTTGATTTGCCATGTTCTCGACTGGGAAATGCCTGCAGCAGGATGCCAGAGAGCTGCACTGGGCGCTCGGAAGGTTGGCAGCAGGCACTGGGTGAGAGCATTCTCCCACCAGGCCTGCCAAGTGTGGCCTTGAACTGGGCGGCGCGCGTTCTTACCACTTCAGTAGGTCGGTAGTATTTGAGATCCACAGTCACGTGAACTTTGCCGGTTTCTTTACATCTGCCCACTTCATTTTCATTCTTTCCTTCCCACCTGTAAAGAAGATAAACACTTAATCAGCTCCTAATTGCTGGGAGCAGCTGCAGTCCCCAGGACGGCCCCAGCAGGGGTGTGTGTGAGCTCATTAGCTACAGGCGGCCACTCACCTATTATTAGAGCAACAGTGATTTTCAAAGCCTTTCGCGATATTTTCAAAGGGCAGTTTTTCAACCCCCCTTTCTTTCTAAGAAAAGCATGATGCATTCAGCAATAAGACTTTAGACATGAACAGATTAGCCCGCAAAGGAATCGGGCCACTCGAAGGGATTTCAAACATTTTACACTTCTTTAGACTATTCTAGATAAAATCAATTAAGATAAATAAAGTCTTTTCTCTTCCCCTTCTTTGTATTTTTTCTTCTGTTAGTAGCTTTAGAGATAATGCAGCATCCATGCAGGTCGACACCCAAGTTTCTGCCTTAATCAACCACTCATTCACCCCGCTTTGTGTCTAAGTTGCGCTGTGCTTCCCAGACAGCGTGGGCCTCGTTAGTAAATCTCAGAGGATTAAACTTCCCCAAAAGAGCACCACTGATTGTTCGTTTCCTGCTTGGACAGGGTGCGTCGGCATCTCGCTGTGACTTGGCTGGAGTCGGATCTGGACTCTGGTTGCCTTCCCTCACATCCACGGTTGACCGCTGTGAGGGTCTGTCAGTTTTTCTCACGTCCACCCTACACATCATAAGCTCGGCAGCTTCAAGGCCAACTTCTTGCTAAAATTCTACTTCTCAATTTTAGGTTTGCCTTTTTTTCATGGTTGACCTCTGGATTTCCACAATCTAATGTTCAAACAACAGACCATACTATATAGTTTAACTTACTTATTTGTATAGATGCATTTTTTAAATTAGGAAATTAAAAAGCCTGACTTCAATGCTATTTTTTTTTTTTAAAGATTTACTTATTTGAAAGTCAGAGTTACAGAGAGAAAGAGATAGAATCTTCCATCTGCTGGTTCACTCCCCAGATGGCCACACTGGCCAGGGCTGGGCCAGGCCAAAACCAGGAACCAGGAGCTTCATCCAGGTCTCCTGCATGGATGGCAGGGGCCCAAGCACTTGGGCCATCCTCTGCTGCTTTCCCAGGTGCATTAGCAGGGAGCTAGATCGGAAATGGAGCAGCTGGGACAGGAACTGGCACCCATGTGGAATGATTGTGTTGCAGGTGGCAGCCTTGCCGGGCTTACGACGGCTGCCCTTCAGCATTCATCTTAGAATGAGTTTGTCTTATCAGCTGGAGGTGAATCCTGTGAACACAGCACAGTTGTGCATGTGGCATTAGAGCCACAGTGAGATGAAAGGGGAGAACGGAGCACTCAATGGGTACCCGACGATGAGAGTCCCAGGTGCCAAGAAGACGACTCTTCAACGTCCATCAAGGCCGGGGGGAGTAGAGACATACACTGGTCTCCCAAGCTTCGGTTCTGATTAATCACCTGAACGTTCACTTCCCGACAGTATCGGGACTATTTCACTGCTGCAGGAATAATCAGCTTATTACTGGGCTGAAGTTGTCAAATGTAATCAATGTCCCACCACAGTGTGAGCATGACAGCACAGCAAACCGAGCAATCCCCAACTCTCAACCCATCATATCCCGTAACTCTCACAGACTCATTATCTTAAAAAGGGGTATTTGGTAGTTAATTTGTTTGTTTGCTTGTTTTTTCCAGTAATGTTGACAAGATCAATTTAACAGTGGAGATAGTGATGGGAATGTCAGAGCAAGGGAGTGGTGGGGGCAGAGCTAAACTTCTGGCAAATTGCCTGGAAACGGAATGTGGAAGTCCTGGAGCATGAAGACTGAAAACGTTTTACAGCCAGATAACCTAAGGTACAGGTGACCCTTGTACGTCTCTTACAGGTAAAGGTCAAACTTCGACTAACACCCACAGCAAGGGAGGACAAAGCATCACGCTAGGACTGTTTCCACGTGTACACATTCGATTCTAATGTTCATGGTTTAAGTGGAGCCCTCTTTTTGGCTAGGCTTTCAGCACATGCAAGGTTACTTGCATTTCGCAGGCCTGCTTTAACTTTATTTCTGTCCCCATTTCAGACTTGCTGAGGAGCAGCAGGTGCCACAGACGGCCGGGGCAGCGTCTCCACCCACACCGGAGCAGCCCTGGGCACCCTGAGTGCAGCTCTCCATTGGTCACTGGCTGTTTCGTCTTCCATGCACACACACACTCCACTGTCCTACACGCTGGTCATTCCTTTCAGAGTCACAGACCCGGGAACTGCTGATTCAAATCTATGTATCTATAGTGAAATTAAAACTATCAGCCCATCTCCCCAGACTTCAGAGTGAGTATGTGGTCGGGAACTGAATGAGGCCAAGACAGCGGGGTCTGAAGACCAGGGGTTTGCACCCTCTTTCCGTAGACAGCCAGAGCACAAAAACCTTCGGCTTCAAAGATCTCACGCAGTCTCGCCGTGCACTCCTCTTCCCTGAGCTCTCCGTCTTTGCCTTCCTCATCTCCTCTTTTCCTTCCATATCAACTCCTTTTTTCTTTTGCCACCCCTCATCCCAAGGACAGTAAAGAAACAGACCTCGGCTGGGGTTCGGCCTGCCTAGCCCTGCGTTAGCTGACCAGGTCAGTGGTATCTCTTCACCTTCGACCAAAGGCAAACATTTAATTCCTGTGTATATCAACGCGCTGCATGGCTGTCTGCGGCAGATTCTCTTTGATTGCTTTGCCAGTCACACACACAGGCTGACGTGGGAGATGGGAGGGGGATGGTCCCCCTTGAAAGGACTGGCTAAATCCAGTCTGCGAGTCAGACCTGGGTTTGGAGCTTCCTTGGCACTTACAGGTAGGAGCTCCCAGCAAGCCTCTCTCGCTGCTGTCTGAACACCGTCTGCGGAGCCGCCATCTCGAAAATGCTTGCTACAGTCACACGGGCTCTAAGGGCATGGCGTTGCCCTCTGTAATTAATATAGCCACTCAGCAATCAAATGGAACCAGGAAATGGCTCAAAACAGAACCCAGTTGGCAAAAACCAACTTTCTAATTTGCACCAGGTCTGCATGAGGGCACTAAGCAAAAGTTTCGGCTAAGGGCCAAAAGCATTCAGTTACAACAATACACGAGACACTTGTATTAACAAGCAAAAGGTAACAGCGAACTTGCCCCAACAGGCACTCTCATGACTCAAAGGAGAGTGGCAGTGTTACGGAGAGGAAATGACGGTGGCTTGACAGCGAGCAGAGGGCTTGGCTAACAAATAGGAACGACTCCCTACTAACTTAGATCAACAGCTCACCCATCAGGGACCCTGTAGGGCTCCTTTTTAAAATGAATTATTGGCCCCTGATAAGCATTAAGCAGGGATAGGGAGTGCTGGACAGTGAGAGAGCGGAGCGCAATACGGCAAGATGAGATGCTAAGAGAATCTACTCAGCTAGGAACATCAAAAGCAAAGTCAGGCAAATAAGTCAAGTTTAGGGGACAGTTAGAGCTAAGGGCCAGGAGAGCGACGAACTCCTGTTGTGACCCGAATATCACAAAAGCTCTCGAGAACAGTTTTTGGGAAGAGCTGTCTTGTTAGGGTGCAGATGTGAGGCGGCGGTGGCTGGATTTCAGTGAATGACAACAGCGCTGGCCTCAGCTTCTGGATAGAGGCGGCAGTTTGCACACGATTTTGCTCCTTCCCCAGACTCCTTTCAAAACAGAAATAAACCCGACAAGGGCCATACGAACAGGAAAGAGAAACCAGAATTGGCAGCTGGGACGGAGGCAGAGGGGTCTGGGGACTTCGCGGAGGCCCGGGAGGGGTGTCCTGGGCCGGCAGCGGGGGCAGGGCTGGGCCTGGGCTCGGCTCACACTCGCGGAAGCCCCTGCCAGCTCAGGAAGGGAGGGCTGATTAGCGTCTCCTCGGAGGCCAGGGCCTCCCCGGTCCTCATCACTTGGCAGCTGCCTCACTTTCCCGGGCGGTGGGACTGGAGGTCACAGGTCCCTGCAGGGCGGGCACCACGCTGCAAGCAGGGGGGAGTCAGACGACGGCAGCCTTGCCGAGGCTTAGCTGACGAGGCACCCTCGGAGCTGGCTGGCTGCGTCCCGATCGGAGGACCTCACAGGGCCACTCAGGAGAATCGCCGAGGCCAGGCTCACCCAGGCTCCTCCCCGTAAGGACACGGGCCTCACGGCATCCTTTGGTCCCAAAACTCCAAGCTCACTCTTGAGGTCTTCACATTGAAACACAGGCAGAAAACTCAGGATTACCAGACACGTATGTGCAGAAAACCACGCACACGACAGAAGCCAAAACAAATTAATTGGGAAAATTAAGAAAAAAAAAAAGTAAAAAGTACCAGAGGGGGAAAAGAACTAAAGAAAAAAATGGAACAAACTGAAGTATCACTGTTAATAATCTCCAGAGAGATAAGGAAAGATATCAGAGAAACAAGAACAGGATATGACATAAAAGAAGGATAATTACATTCAAAGTTGAGATGAGATTTCTTTTTTCAGAGCAGAGGAAAAATGTCAGAGAGTACAGCAAAAAGATGTGAACACAGAAAATCAGAAGGCAAGTGCTCAGGAGGCCAGTGTCACAGGATTTCCAAGAAGCGAGTACAGAAAACGGAGCAGAGAAAATAGTTGTCCTAAAATTAATGGGGAAAAATCATCAGAGCAGACGCACAAGTATCTCCAGACCGAGAGGATGTCACAAACAACGGATGGATCAAGACCCCCCCCCAACACACACACACATCAGGTCTCAGGGCCAGGAGGAGGCCTGAGCCACCTTCCAGACAGAACCAATGCCACTGGGAGTCCCCAAGTGGTTCCTGACATCTCACAGCAACCCTGCAGTTAAAAGGTAATGCCTTTACGGCCAGCGCTGTGGCACAGCAGGTAAAGCCGCCGCCTGCAGTGCCGGCATCCCGTATGGGCACCAGTTCCGATCCCGGCTGCTCCACTTGCGATCCAGCTCTCTGCTACGGCCCAGGTCCTTGGGCCCCTGCACCCGTGTGGGAGGCCGGGAAGA